AACAGTGATTATTCTGTTACTGCTCTCATAGATACTCATTCTCGAGTTTTTTATTTGGAAGAATCATATTATAAAATGAGGAAAATTGTTCAATAAGAATATTTTTTTAAAGAAGAGATTTCTTGAATTCCCCTTCAAAAGAACTAGGAAGATCTATGATTCTGAATAGTTAATATAGTCTAATTAGCCCAGCAGTCTGAACTTGACACAGTGAGCTTCATCTGTTCAGATGCAATTCTAGCCTCTCTCCCCAGTAGAGGCTGAGATCACTACTTGGCCCAACTGGATGGTGAAAGAGAGAGAAAACACACTGTACCATCTGCCTGTCCTGCTTGCTACCTGCAGAAAAACAGTTTCTTCACAGAAGCCTCTAGCAGAGGATTACCCAGGATTGCATCGGTTGCTTGAGCTCAAGAGCTCATCCCTGGTGGACTGGCTGCCAAAATTTTGCTGTCCCTCTCGATGGTCTTGGGGCTAAGTGCATCCCACTTACAATGTTTGTGTTTTGTTAAACCAACTTTATTAAATGTTAAAGATAGAATTAACAAAGAACTGAGAATAATAATAATAATAATAATAATAATAATAATAATAATAATAATAATGAATCCTTTTGTATTATTGTAGTCTTATGTGTGTGTATGTGTGTATAAACACACACACACACACACACACACACACACACACACACACACACACACCTGGGGCCTGGTTGTTTATGGAACAGCCTCCCTCTGAGGGTGACTGCTCATTCCACCAGGTTAGGTGAAGTGAGCACACTACACCTTCCTTAAATGTTATCATTTGGTGTGACATTAGAAAGATGCCTTTTACATGGTTGTCCCTATCCTTTGGAATAGCCTTGTTCTTGAGATCCAGAGAAGTCACAATTTTTAACCTTCAAGAGGGCTGTAAAGACCTGGTTTTTGGTCCAGGATTGAAACTAGGGTAGTAGTGAATGTAGCAAATATAAGTCTGTGTAGGGTTTATGGAATCTTGCAGCACTGTGATAGAGAAATATGATTTGGTTGGTTTTATTCCTGTTTTTAACGATTATTATTGTGAGCTGCGTAGAATAATCATGTATGCAATGGACAGATATATAAGTTTCTAAATAAACAAGAAAATACATCTTGGGCCATGAAAAAAAAAGAGAAGCAGACTGATGACCAAGCTTCATTTCCTTTCAGGTTATAGCCTAATTGAGGAAGTCAAGGTTACAATAATTGTGGCTTCTCCAGTTTAAAAAACAGGTCAGTTGCTGGTAAAACATACTTTGTTCAACATTTAATCCTGAATGATAGTGCTGATCCGGTGTGTAGTTTGGATTATCTGCTTGAAAGAAAAGATTAGAGTTCAACTTGTCTTCTGAGTTACTTTATAGCATAACAGACTGAAAATGAAAAGTTTGAAGGCGAGTGACCATAAGCTATAGAAATTCCATCTTGCTGATGAGATGTTTCATTTGGCACATTGCCAAATGCCGTGTTTGAATGGGGAGAAGAGCACTGAGGTAGCAATACAGTCCTGAATACTATGCAGCTCTTAACCAAAACAGGTTTTTCTTCTTCCTGTAGTTAAGTTTCACTATAACAAGGAAGGGGTTAGGAAGTAGATACCTGGGACATAAATGTTTTGTATAAGTCATTTATTTCTCCTCCTGGATGAAAAAAATAATAATCTCAGAAATAGAATGACAGAACCGAATTTCTGCTTCAAGAAGGGAGTTGCAGACCATGATGAATGTCTTAATGCAGGGGTCCCCAACCACCGGTCCGCGGACTGGTACCGGTCCGTGGAACAAACCCTACCGGGCCGCTGGTTTGCTGGGCGCCGCCATCTTGTTTTGATGAAAAAGTGCTTCCGGTGGAAAAGCTCACCGGAAGCACTTTTTCATCAAAACAAGATGGCGGCGCCCAGCTGATGCCGGTACCAGGCCGCGGGAATGTCTTATTCATGGATCCAAAGGCAGAAGTGTTGCTATAGAAACCACATCATATCCCTTTCTGCCAGATGGGAAAGACTTGTGGTTAACAATATGGATGGAATGACAGACATGTAGCCATAGGAATAGATGTTCTCAGTTGGTCTATGAGATAGTTGCAGAAATAGGAAAGAAGGGACCAAGTAGCTTTTGGGGGCTGCATTGGCAGAACATGCTGATTAAACCAGGGTATCCAAAGTAATCCAATTATTTCAGTTTCTAGAACACATGGAAGCACATACCAGCCAATCACTTTGTACAAAGTAGCAATGCTTCTTGCCCTTATTTTTTCTTTTTCTTTACTAGAGTTCCAATGATGGCTGCATTCTTGGTTATTCTTGAGCTATGTAAGATTCCTTCTCTACATTCTATGAGAGTACCTACAATGAAATATATCTTGTAGTAACATCTATAAACTAAATAGTGTAGTTTGAGCCCATTAGGAAGCAGGCATAACTTTGTGCTGTAAGACATTGTTGCTGGTAGATTTCCTTTTTCACAGAGGGCCACTGATTTGTGAGGCATGTTTCCTTCCCAAAGGCAGCCTAAGTTGCACAGTGAAACTTGTTTTTAAACAGTCACATCTTTAGGGAAATGGTGGGAGCCAAAGAAAAGTCTTCTGCATTGAGCTTTGAAGTGTGAGCAGCAGAAAGATGTACTTCTTACCAAACCATAACACAGTGATTTATGATATAACAATCACAATTCATATAAGAATTTTCCTCTCTCATTCTGCATTCCCATTCAGTGTGCACTGTCCACAGGGCCTATCGCAGCAAAGCATTTAATCATTGCTTCATAATTAAAATACACGTCCTTTCCCTGCGCTGCTCCCAGACCTGCTTTTTTCTAGGAGCATTCACAGCGATAGGGAGTGTGAGGGATGTAATGTGCATCATAATGTCATCATACAACTGGCAGAAAATACATCTGACACTTTGCACCATGACATGACTGACATAAATTACATTATTCAAGTCATTGTTCTGTGATCACAAACTGCACATGACACCAATGTAGCTTCTACTGTGCACCTTCCCTAGTTCAGGGAGTCCCAACCACTCTATCTCTTTGTTTCCAAATTGTGATCTCTGAATATATCTTTTAAGTCCGGGCTTATTTCTTTTGCAGTTTTCTTGGCAACAGCAAGGAACATTGCCTTTACTTCCCAGACTAGCCCACGGGTCTACCATAATTTGATAGTCTTTTATAAAATAGGCTCAACAGAACAAAAGAAATAGAAAATCAGTTTTAGAGCAAAGTTCTCAGCACAGCAAATAAAAAGAAAGTTAAAAATAACATAACCAATGCATAAAACTCGCTGTAAGCAACATGCGGTGTGCCATAAGCAGCCTATTTTGAGTTCCTTGACTATAATTGCCACAAATCAGAACCTCTATTTTTTGCTGTTTTGAAACAGGAAATGCATAAAAACATAGCATACCTCTTAATTAAGTTTAACAGATTAAAAATAAGCAATGCTTTTTCGTTTAGAGAAAAACAGAAAACCCCAGCCTTATTGACATGTGCAGTAAAGTTTCCCTCTGCCTTGCCTACAGGTGTTCTCCCTTCCTCCTCCTCACAAATGTTGAAGGAAGCCTCTAGGCATAGAAAGTTCTAAAGCCTTTATTTGGCACCATTCACTTGCTAGACAAGAGGGAAGCAGAACTCCCAATGAGATGTATGTCTAGTTTATATATTAATAATGTGATGCCCATCCATAATTAGTCAAACAACTATGATATTTTAGAACTTTCAAGAACATCCTTTCTTTTCATAACAGAGGTCACAATAATTTAAACAGTTCAGTGACTGTGAGGGAACAAAACGTATTGCTTAGCTAGACAGAAAATGAAAATAGGCAGAAACAAGTATATAAAAGCTTCTGATACTAAACAACTGTGGGGGATAAGTATGTGGTTGAATGCAGATTTCCTGGGAACCTCAGTTTTCATGTTCAAAGAGGGGGAAAAACTCCTTTTCATGTGAAAATAAGACCTAGGAAACAACAGAGGATGAGAATTCCAAAGCCAAATGGAAGATAGAATGAAGTTTGAGGAAAAGAGTGTACACTATCATACACAACTATTATTCCAGTCCACTCTCTGCAGAATTATGCAAACTAAGCAAAGGCATTAAAATAACTACATTTGTTTAATTAATATAGACTGTGGAATTAATCACCTTATGCTATGGAATGTGGGTTTCTTTACTGCTCCTCTGTAAACTTAAGAAACCATAGCTTAGTTTTACATTAGTAGAATAAATTAATCAGTCTAGCTTTTTTTTTTTTTTACCAGTTCTTCTTTGGCCCTCAGGGCAGCTATGCAACAGCTGGTATTGGGCTTTCACCAGATCAAAAAAGAATTCTGGAAGTGGGAGCAGCCTCGGCACTTTCCAGAGAAACACTGCAATCCAAAGCCTCAGAAATATAAGGGTGAAAAGTGCTGCCAAGCAGCTTGCTTGCAAGCTCCTGCAAAAGACAAGCAGGAAATGAACGTCAGCTGAGTTCTTTTCCTAGCTCCAGCAGCTCCGCCTCTCACAGTCCCTCCCCTGAGTTCGAGCTGGATCTTGTCCCTCCAACATGGGGATGCAGGGGAGGGGGGGGTGCAGCTCCCACTTAAAGCTGTTGATTCCCTCCCCTGATGATGCCACTAACTGAGCCAGCCTGTGCAACGAAGCTGAGCTGCCAACTGAGGGATCAGCTTGGGAAATGGGTCGGCAACGCTAGATGAGATGCCGGCCTCTGGTTCCTGTTTTTCAAATAGCAAGTTTCAGGACCAGGGATAGCAACCACACACTCTGCGTCTATTTCCTACCGCAGGCGCCACCTCAACGCAGCAGACTGAATTCCGCCCCCGCTGGCAGCAGCTTCGAGATTTGAGCGTTTCCTCTGACTACAACACCAGGGACAGCGCCTTTTCTGGGAAAGCAGTCTTCTTCCTCACCAAATTGCTATTGTCACAGCTTCAGTCTCCTGTGTGGAAGAACAGCACTGAGCCACTGTTGGTGAAACATGGCAACTGAGGTGAGCAACGCTGGCAAGGTAGAACACACATGCCGAATCATTGGAACTGCAGTCGGATTTTCCTGGGTTGTGCTTGTTCTATCTGATGCTGCAGGAAGCTTCAAACCCCAATGTTAGCTGTTATTGGTTGTTGTAGCCTCATGTTCCTTGGTTTGTTGTGCTGAGGGTCGCTTGCATTTCCTGAATTTCTGATTTTTTGCAGCAATTGTATGGGTTAAATAAAGAAAGGAAGTTGAAACACTGATTGTCTTTGAGGGCTAAGAATACCAGTACTCCAAAGTTAATTGCCTGATTTCCAAACAACCCCCCCCCACTCCCCAAGACAGGCAATTGTTAAGAAGAGCAGGTGGCCCTTTGCTCAGCTGTGAATCAATGGATTTCCCTGAACACATGGGAGACACCTATAGACAGAAATTCAGAAGCCCAGGGGAGCACTCCTCAGTTGGACTGTGCTGGCAGCCCAGTCAATAGCCATGCTTTAGGATGATAGTTATTGTGCTATTATGAATCTGGAGAGAACAAGGTTGAGTAAGGCTGCCTTATGTCTGATGCTTTGGATTTGGTTTCAGCTATACCTTTTGTGAACAGGGAAGAAAGAGATACAAGAGCTATGATTTTCTAGAATAAATGGAAGCTCCATTATTCAGATTAATCAATTATGGACTCAGAAGCAGGTCCATGATACAATTTCTTTTGGGTTAAAATAAGGTTAAAAATGCAGTAGAAGTAAAAGGTAAAGAGATTATGAAGTGTTTTCTCTCATGGTGCTATATTCTGGTTTCAAAACACTTTTGAAGTCAGCCGCTATCAAGAATCCCATCCTTCAGTGATTTTTTCACAATCATTATTGCTCTTGTCCCATATTTCCCATGTTCCCATTTCCTCTAGTAAAATCATGTTTGTCAATGAAAGATGTGTCCCTGAACAGGAGAATTAATCTGAGTCAGATTACAAATAGCTAAAAGCTTGCTTGTTGCTAAGGGAAGGGCAGCCGTTCCTAAGGGCATGGAAGGACAGATGGCAGGAAGCACAAAGGACTTGTTAAAGACTCAATCCTTAGACCACGAAATAAAGAAAATACATAAGTACATAAATTCTCTCTCTCTCTTACTCTCTCTCTCCCCCATCTCTCACACACATTTACAAAATAATAGGTAGTTGTTTTTATAGTTATCTAACTTCAACTTTCTTCTACTCCTAAAGTAATTAATTTCAACCTTCAGTTTCTGATCTTGGATGTCTATGGAGATTCTCAGTCATCCAGGTCATAGTTGTCGCAAATGTGCTTTTTCAAGAGGCAACTGGACACCAGAGAGTCCAGTTGGACACTAGAAAGTCCAGTTGCCTTTTGAAAAAGCATCTTTGGGACTTCTGATCTTGGAAGATTTCCATTTAAGCACAGAATAAGATCAACATTAGGTCCAATTTCTATTGAGGGAATTCAGGGTTACTTTCAAATTCAATGTTAGCTTTCTAAATACTTAGGCAGTTTTATTGAACTGGATGATCTCATATTTAAACTAATAAAACTTATTGGACTTTTAAGAACATAAAAATAACTTTCCTGGCCCATTTTTGTCTAACATTATGATCTCATAACCTGTTATTTCATTTTGAACCACTTCAACTCCTAGGGCTAAACAACATATAATGTGAGAAATAAACTTAAAGGTAGCAGCACTGAGTCTTCAATACTAATATTTCTTAAACTGCCCACCGTGAATTTATTAAATAGCCATCGTATCATGGTAATGCTAATGAATTTTACATAAAATTCATGTAAAATTCAATGCATCCTATTTTCAAATCATATTGCATCTGCTCCAAGTTTGATATCATCCACAACCGTAGCCAACTCAATGCTTTTAATGCAACCACAGGCTAAGAAATTCTTATAAGGAGATGGTTATTAAGTGAGCTCTTACAATGCAGAGGTTTCCCTCTATGGACAGGAAAAGGAAGTAACCCTTGTTAATTTAGGCTTGTCCTGTTTAATTCTGATTGTATTTCAACAAGTTGTACTACTTGAAGGCTATTATATATATAAATATGTAGACAAAACTATTTTTTTATTTTTTTATTTGAAATATCCAATAACGTATCATCTTTGGTAACATGCTTGAACATCTTCATTCAGCTTGCTAATTTAAATTATTTTCTGTTTTGTGACCTTAGTTAACAAAAGAACCCTCTACCATCTTTAAAACCATATATCAGTCTAAGTGTAGATAGCTAATGCATATTTCAGTGTGTTGGGAGAATATAAATAACTGAGATTGAAAACCAGTTGTATCGCAATTTAACCATTATGTTTACTGGGTGACTTGAGGAAAACATATTCTTTCAGCTTGACATGCTCTATGATTGTAATAAGAACCAAGTCCTGATGATCCCAATTAGAACTGAAATTGGACCATTCTGTGTCTGCTATTTGAATGGGGAAAACACTACAATGAAGAAATAGTGGGATATTGGTTTTTCTGTATTTCAGCCTTTAATGCTTGGGAAGGGTATAGCATGGAAATGTATAATTAATCTGTTAGACTATTTTCATTATACTTTGAATAATTAAGAAGATATTTATCTAAATAATTAGGTAACAAAGTAATATTTTTCATTTAAAATGTGCAAATTCAAATTTTTAACTGAAGTATACAGTATACTTAGAAGCACCTGCAAATAACTGCCCAAAAAGCTTATACAAAAAGAAATACCACTTTGAAGATGGTGCCAAAATGACTCATGAAACATTATCTAAAAACAATTTCAGCATCCTATCCATATCCCATTAGTGTGCATTTTAATGCAGATGTAAGTGCTAATTAGAGATTGTCCCAATTCCAATTGTTCCTATTACAGTATATGCAATGATCAGTAACTACGTGCATACCTAGTTGAATGATCATCTGCCTGAGTGGTGCTGATAGTGTGAATTTCCATGGAAGCAGAAATCATTGAGCCTACTTAGTTAGGCCATTTATATTTTTTCTTAAACAATCCTGATAATTAAGTAGCTTTTCAGTGGCTTCAAGAATATCTGGTGATTCTTAAATGGTTAATTAAACCATTAAAATGTATAAGATTAAATGCTCTAAGTCTAAGATGTCTTTAACACCCATACTCTTTTGTGATGCTGAGTGCATTGCATTGCTCCCTTGCTATGTTATAGAACAGCATACCTGTACACTTACTCTTTAACATTTCTGCCCTAAGACAGCAAACAAAACAACCTATCAGTGCATACATTATCTTGGGGAGGACTTTAGCATGCAATGTGATTAAAGGAGAATTATGGGTTGTTTTCTCTGAATGAAAATGAAGAAAAGTACAAAGCGAAGCATAGAGCAATCCAGGAATGAAAAAAGTCCATGCCTTTGATCTGCAAGTGTCAGAATACAGTGTGAGCTCCCACCAGTACTACCGTACAGGAAGGTTTTCCCATGTTGTAACTTCCTGATTTCAATTTTCTTCAGGTCCACAATCTCCAAGAACTGCGGAGGAGCGCTTCTTTGGCTACCAAGGTTTTTATACAGCGAGACTACAGTGATGGGACCATCTGTCAATTCCAGACCAAATTCCCTCCTGAACTGGACAGTCGGGTACAATCTGTTATTTCATGTGGTTCTCCTGGCTCACACACTAGAGCAAACTTTTATATCAAACCAATGAGTATACTGGAGCTCAGATTAAACTATGATGTTCCATTAACTTTCTATGAATGTTTCAGAAACTTCCTTACTTTATTTATTTAAAGAACTGACATGCTGCCTACCTCATATAAAATTAACCACTTGAATCAACTCCATCCTGCCCCAACGCCTGGGAGAACAGCAGCTAGCTCTTCATGGCCTTGTGGAAGGCTACTCGGGTGCCACTCCCCCTCCGCCAATTTCAGTTGGGAAGCTGTTGCAAAGGACTGGAGTAGCTCCAGCGAAGGCACCCTCCAGGCCCACTGAATTTACTGTAGCTGTACTTTTTGTGTGGAAAGGCTGAAGTAGCAAAACAGGAACCAAAGAATTTCAGACTAGACAGGACTGTTGTGTAAACAGGATGCAGGTGTCCTCCACATTCCTGTCTGAGAAAAAGAGTACTAAAAATGTATGTTGCCACCAAAGAGTCCTAGGATTTAATCCCTGGGCATATTCTCTCACACATTCATATAAGGTTGGATTTCTGAATTTTGTCATAGTTGTTCTTTTGCATAGATAGAGTGTTGAAGTTCAGCTGTTTGTTAGCAACAGAGTGCGAAGGGTGCGGTTGAGTATCTGAAGAGTTGTGAATAAATCTGACATTTTGAAGGATTTTTCCTAATCTGTTAACTATAGCAATCACACACTAACTACACAGTAGCAGAGTGATTTCTTTAAAAAAAAAAGAAGAATGTTCGCACATAACTGGATATTTCTTACAACATATCTTATTTTGATTTAGCAATGTCTCTATTCCACCTTTTGGCATTTGCATAAAGGAGAACACCAGTAGTCGTTAAAATAACATGCTGCATGTCACTATTATGTCGTTTCCTTTCTTTTCTCCTTCCAAAGATTGAGCGGCAACTTTTTGAGGAAACAGTGAAGACACTGAACAACTTCTATGCGGAGGCTGAGAAAATTGGGGGCAGCTCTTATCTGGAGGGATGTCTGGCCTGTGCCACAGCCTACTTCATCTTCCTTTGCATGGAGACCCACTACGAGAAGGTTTGGAGACATAAGAGAACATTTACAATTGTTAATATCATAGGTGTTTATTATGCTGTATCAAGGGCTCCCAAAATAGGGAAACAACATCAAGATAACTATTTTAATTTTACAGGTTGTTAAAATAATGTGCAGTGTGCATAAATTTTGCCCTTGTTTGCACTACATACCATGCAATCTCTTTCTAATTATATAATGCAGGGTTCTTTTTCAAGGGTTTTTAAAATTTATGTTTTTAATTAAGAGGGGAAAAAAGCCAAACGCATGGATAAAATTAATGGAGTAACATACATAAAAAGTGCTCTTAAAAAGGGAAAGAAATATGAATAAAATGACACATCATTAGAACAATATATACTTGTCTAATTCAAATATTGAAATATGTATGTTGAAATAAATATTGAAATATGTATACATTCTGATGAGAAAGATGTTCCTTAAGGATGGGCTCCAGCACGAGTCCGAAGCTTGGAACCCTAAACCTCTGGTCCTGGTGACTGATCCAGATTGGATCCTGCAAATATGTATATATTTCTAATACGTTTATACAGTTGTTGTTTTTTTAACTTACTGTATTCTGTATAAATGAGTCCCATTATACAGTGTGATCATACTTGTCTATACAAAGTTTACATCTATAGGCAATCCACTTATAAGTGGCAAGTGCAACCAGATCTTCAATTCATTGAATAAATGGAGCCATACATTTAGTTTTCCAATGCTGCAAGACCAGTCTTTTGGCCATAGTAAGAGCACAGAGAATCCATTTGTATTGTCCAGAGTTAAATTCCATGTACTAGGTAGAATAGTTCAAATGAATATTATCCTCTGAAACTTGTAGCTTTTGTCACATTCCCCTCCCCCCAGGTTATCCTTATCTATGATCTTCAGGGTGTGTTAAGGACAATAGATATGGAATTCTATGGGCTTTGATTTACACCCCACTAATGTTACTAGACAACGGGGAAACAGCTGCCACTCTACCTTTGCAAGGTAGCTGGAGGGAGAAGTAAGTTTTAGTAGATGGTGGATCTATCCTACTCACTCTGGCTTTGTGTTTTGCACAGGTCTGGATGGTAGCACTTTAAGTCAACCTTGGGGGTAAAAAAAATCCTGTGTGACAAAAGTTACAATTTTCAGAGGATAATATTGATACAGTTTTTAGTGCTCTTTTCAATACATTTTAATAGGATTCCAAAACAATATTATTTTTAGGCTAGTACAAAACCCATGTTCAGAAGGAGGAGGATTGTTGTCTGACAAGGCATGGAAAGAACTGCACTGTGAAGCAGGAAAGGAGGGAGGGATGGTTGGGTGAACCAAGGAAAGTCTCTAAAATAGTGAATGTGATCATAAAATATGATGGATAAATAAGTGCAATTAATGGTGAGCCAGGGTTATTATTATTTGTTCATTTTTATAATAGAGCACAGTTTCTAAGAGTACTTGGAATTTGTTTAATAACTTTCTTCTCAACTCTGTGCTATATATTATCCGGGAACATGAAACAGGTACTCATTTGGTTCTGATCGGTTCACTAATTATTTCTTCAGGTTCTGAAGAAGATCTCCAAGTATATCCAGGAGCAGAATGAGAAAATCTATGCTCCACGAGGGCTCCTGCTGACTGACCCAGTGGAGCGGGGCATGAGAGTTGTATCCTTCTTGGCTTGATGTCAGGGATGAAAATAGAATACATTACTGCAGGGGTGTCCAACCTTGGCAACTTTAAGACTTGTGGACTTCAACTCCCAGAATTCCT